TTTGATCCAATAATGCGAAATCATTTTCAACTTATTAGAGATAAGAAAGTTCATAATTATTACCTTAGTCATAAAATTCAAAATGATTTGATAGCTACCTTAGCATCTAAAGTGAAAAGTGTGATTGTTGAAAAAAATTAAAAAAGCCAAGTTTTTCTCTGTGATACTTGATTGTACACCTGATGCAAGTCACGAAGAACAAATGACTTTAATTAAAAGATGTGTTGATGTGTCGATCAATCGTACACGAGTTAAGGAGATTTTTTTAGAGCTTATACATGTGGAGGATACTTCAGGGTTGGGGCTTTTTAATAAATTGCAAGGTGTGCTTAAGACACTTGATCTGGACATTAATAATGTGAGAGGGAAAGGCTATGATAATGTTTCTAATATGAAAGAAAAAACCATGGCGTTCAAAAAAGATTACTTGACATAAATCCTAGAGCCTTTTACATGCCATGTGGTGCATATTGCCTTAACTTGACACTTTGTGATATGGTTAAATCTTGGTTAAAAGCAAAATCATTTTTTGGGGCATGTCAATGCATATATACAGTGTTTGCAAATTCAATGAAGCGTTGGAATCTTTTGCTTGAATATGTTGATGGTTTAACTTTGAAATCACTTTCTACTACCCGTTTGGAGAGTCATATTGGAAGTGTTAAAGCCATAAAATCTCAAATATTTCAAATAAGAGACGCTTTATTTAAATTAGATGAAATTAGTGAAGATCCCAAATTGAGTAGGGATGTTGAAAGCTTAGCATCAGGTGAACTTTCTAGTTTTGAATTTTTGTTGAGTTTAGTTGTTTGGTATGATGTTTTGGATAAAATTAATATGGCTATTAAAACACTACAATCTGAGGACATGCGTATTGATGTTGTCGTGAAATGTTTGAAATAACTTATTTCATACTTTGAGAAATATAGGAATATTGGATTTGATTCTGCTATGATTACTGCTAAAGAGGGGACAACCCTAACTATACCAAAAATGGCATAGCTAAAGACCCCCCTTTGTCTTCTCATTTGCTTCCCTTACCTTACATCGTGTAAAGAGTCATTCTGAGGAAATCGAAATTGAATCTGTCTTTTCGGAAAAACGTCGTATATGTAGAAATAGACATTTTAATGAAATTCTAAACACTGAAAGAGAAACTCAGCTCAAGAATCATTTAGAATTGAATATTTTCTTGTTGTAGTCGACATGACTATTTCTCAACTAAAAAACAGGTTTGAACAGATGCAATTTTTTCAATTTATGTTTGGTTTCTTATTTGATGCGGCAACTTTAGTTTCATTGGATGATGAAGAATTGAAAATATCTTGTATGAACCTTGAAGTGGCTTTAAAAGGTAATGATGTTTTAGACATTGATGGAAAATGCTTATGTTCAGAATTGCAAGTATTGCAATGTTACCTGATGAATCATATGAAAAAAATGAGCCATGGACATCCATTAAAATAATGCAATTTGCAAAAGATATGGATATGTTCCCCCATGTTATGATTGTATAGGTTATTATTGACTTTGCCTGTAACTGTAGCATCGGCATAAATAAGTTTTTCTAAATTGAAGTTGTTGAAATCTTATTTGAGAACATCCATGAGTCAAGATAGATTGAACGGGTTAGCTATTCTATGCATCGAGAAGGATATTATTGAAAATCTTGATTATGGAGACATAATTGATGATTTTGCAGCTAAAAATGCCCGAAGAAGCCTTTTTAAGTAATTTCTTTGCTATTATTATTTTGTAGCCGCAGTATTGTTCCCGAGACATTATTTTTTGAGACATTATTTCTCTGTGGAAGTACTAGTGACATTATCTTTTGCAAGGTGAAAGTGCATCAAGACATTATCTTTTGTATGCATAATAAGTTTTCTATTAGATTTCACTTGTTTGTAGCTTTATCTTGTAATATTTTATAAACTGTAATTTTATTTTTCATTTTGTATAAAAAGAATGTTGGAATATTAGCTTGTCAAGACATTATCTTTTGTACCCGTAATAAATCTTCTATTAGACGTTACTTGTTTTTAGCTTTGTTGAGTGGTTGCAATATTTTAAAAATGCTAAATTTATTTTATTTTATTTTATTTATAAAAAGAATGTTGGATTGTTATTGGTATTTATTTAAAATGTATTATTTTATTTCTTAAAAAAAAAAGCCAAAGTACTTGGGGACTGGGGCATTATTTTTATATTCGTCTCATGACTTAATAATTTATAGGACCGGCTCTGATTCTACGTTCCAAGTGGATACTCATGGTATATTTATTTTTTTCAAAACTGATTTTGGTGGGTGAGAAATAAATTATCAAAGTTAACCATGAATGGGCACGCAAAAGTTATTTGTGGGATTCGAAGGGTCAAAAGTCTTATCATACATAGAACTTTTTAATGATATTAACTCTTTTTACTATAATAAAAATAGTTGGAGAGGTCTGAAACAAATCGTGTATCGAAATTTGTATCAAAACCCGCTATTGGCCTTGATTTTGACATGGATTGGTACTCGGAAACGAGCGTTTTCTGAATTTATTTCAAAGGTAAAAGATAATCCCCTTACAAAGGTACTGAAACATGCTTAAATACCATAAATTTCCCAAATCCTACTAAGAAAAACGAAAAAGAAACTACTCTGCGTGCGTAACTTCCAGACCCTAGCGGTTGCTAGGGGGGTTACCGGTGTTAACCCTTATAAGCTGGAAATCTCTATAGCCCGCTAGGGACGACACTTGCAGGCCGCTAGCTCCTGGACCTTGGCGGTAGCCCTTGGGCAGCCTCCGTCTTGTTGTCCTTTGATCCGTGCATGTCGAGCCCGGTTATACGCATTCTTCAGCCGATGACCATCATATGCATCACACGACAACAACAAAGCTATGCACCAAGTGTTGATGTTTTGGACTCGGCTTTTGACCCAACCCGTGTGACACCTTCCAAGTTCTTTGAACCTGGACGTATGACCTTTCACTTGTCCACCACCTGACGGTTTCAGGAGTTATAAGGTGGATTAATGGTGAGTTGAACACCATAATGTTGTCCATTTACTAAGTTGATTAAAGTGAGTTAATCACCTTAATGTAGTCATTTATAAGGTGGATTGAATGTCTTTCATGGTTTGGATGACCACCAAAATTCTCCCATTTATGATGGAAGTCCTATAAATAGGACACAAAGTTATAGAGGACAAAAGACACTCGATCATACAATCTTCTACATACTCTCAAAAGTCTCACGCATCATAACATTCAAGTCCTAAGTTCTCAACTACATTCAAGCTCATCGGAGCTCGAAAGCTTGTGTGCCACAACATTCGAGACGTCAGTCGCTGTATCTTTGGAGGACACGATCATTTGTGTAGGGTTTAGCCCGACGGTTCCAATACATACATATTTTTTTAATAATATTAAAATGTAGTTGCGTCGACTATCGGTTCAAGGTCGGATCCATCGATTTATTGGTTTGGGTGAATCTCGATCATTGATCTTGCTAACAAGATCCAACAATCGAAAACAAAACTATGGCCGTCGCGATGACCCAATCAATTCTATTCCGATCAACCCAAAACTAGCAACTTAAATTATTAGATTTAAAAATTTTGGATGTCCAACTTGAAGGGTCTTTACATGTCACTAGAATCTACTGGAAGAGAGATTTTTAGGTTCGTTGGATCAAAACGTGTATATAATTTTTTTTTGGTACAAAAAACGTGTATATAATTGAACGTGAACAAACCTGCATACTATACGATTATACGAGCCCAATTTTGATTCGCTCCGAGCCACTAGTCAATGGGCCCGAACCTCTAATAATAGCTGATCCCAAACCTCACCAATCACCCTACTAGGAGAAATAAAAAAAAAAAATCTTAGTTGTAAGATGTAACTTGCAATAGAAAAATTAGAAGCCACCTAGTAGTCTTCATTGTTGATGGTGCCCACAAACTGCCCATTCCAAGCTGTAAAATTGTTCCATGTTTGGAAAACTGGGAGCATCTATCCGTATACTTATTACCCTTTTCCATTTCATTTTCCTTTTTTTCTCTGTTCACTCTCTCTCTCTCTCTCTCTCTCTTCGTCCCGTAATTCATTCCCATTTTCTTCTGAATCTCTCTGTGTTAATTTAAGTGAAAAATTAAACAAAATTGCGAAAAAATTATGACAACCCTTTTCGAGATCATCTCTCTCCATCATCATCACCCTCTCCCCAATCAAAATTTCAAACCCAAAACCCTCGATTTTCCTGTTCTTTAAATTCTTCCTCCAAAAAAAAAACCCCCTTTTTTTTTGTCCCCTTTCTTGTTTCTGTGATCATTGGAGTTTTTCGAAGGTGAAAAACGGCGTTTTTTTTTTTGAAAAACTCCGTTTTGTTCTCACCTTTTTTCCTCTTCTTTTTTTCCCCCATTATCCCATCATAGTCGTCCACACACACCCTTCCTCTGCTCCTGTTGTACAGCTGATCGAAACCCCACCTTCCCTTTTTTCTCTTCTTCTTTGACCCACTACCGTTTTCTTCCATTTCTCTTCACTTTCCGCCTCAAAATTAGGGTTTCCTTTTTCTTTCTTTCTTTCTGCTTAATTTTTTTGTTTTTCGTTAGTGCTTGTGTAGTAGTTTCTGTTGTTGTTCATGTCCTCTTGATCTCTGTGTGACTCTGTTCAGTGATCTGTATATCGTCCGTCTGTCTTGGTTTCTGGAGTTTGCTCAATTGATTTTTTTTTTTTTTTGAATAGATATTATGGCTTTTGCGTCGCTTTCAGCCGTAGTTAGGGTTCTTCTAAGATTCTCCTGTTAAAATGCCGCTTTCTACTCATTGGATCGACTTTAGTATCACTTGAATCGCTTGTTCCCCCTTTCGTGATTAATTTATTTAAAGATTTGCTTTTTTTTTTCTTCTTCCCTTGTTAGAAGCACCTC